CCCCCCCCCCCCCCCCCAAAAAAAAAAACCCTCCAGACGCACACCGAAAAACACCCCCCCCAGCACAGCCCGAAAACCCCTTCGGCGGGACCCGTGAACGCGAACACAAGAACGCAAGGGGCCAGGGACGACGGCCCTTTTCCATAACGCCCAGGAAGGCCCTGTTCGAAGGGACTTTTTTTGCCATGTCGCGCGCACCGGGTCCCCCCTAGCATGAAATTTGACGTGAGGCCACCGTTCGATGCGCGGAACGACGTGTGGCCAACCTTTCGCGGTGTCAAACGGACCCTGTGAGGCACTCCGAAATGGAAGACCTGAAGGGGACCCGACCCACGCGCGCCTACAAATACGAGCGGCGCCCGGGGTGTGAACGCTGCTTTCTGCGTTTTTTGCTGGGTAGATGCTGCCGGACGGACGCCTCGCACCACCATTGTCGTCAACACCATCGCCCCGCACAGCTGGAGCACCATAGGTAGCGAAGCGAACAGACAGCCGTTCTAAACCCTGTTCGCTACCTTCTCTACGACGCATCTCCCTCCACCTCCCTAGTCGCTGCCCGCTTCATCTTCGACGTCACGCTTCGACATCCCGTCGACTCAACGACGATATCTCGGTTGTGGATTAGCGCATCCGACGCTCCACGCATTACCATCGCCAACACAAAGCGCACGGCACAAGGTCGCAGCATTCCTGTCTCGATCGACGTCGGGATCCGCACGCATCTCCACTCGGCACTCTCACAAGGTGAGTGCGCACGAACCCGAGACGTGTGTGTTTTTGTGAGCGCTTGTGGGTGGCTTTTATGCTGACACGTCAGCGCTGTTTGGACGAGTGTGTGCTTGCATGTGCGCGTGCAGTTGTGTTTGCTTTTGCTTGTGCGTGACGAGTGTGTGTTTGCATGTGCGCGTGCGGTTGATTGTGTGTTAGAGTGTTTTTTTTTTCGGATTTGCGTATGTAGTGTCTCTACGTGAGGGGCGTGTTTGTGTACGCGGAGTGTGTGTGCGTGTGTGTGCGTGTGTGTGTGCGTGTGTGTGTGCGTGTGTGTTGTTTCGCCGATTGAACGCGCGGAGGTTGTCGCCAAGGTGTGCGGCCGTGGTAGAATGAATTGTTTCGCATCCCGAGGGTACTCCTGCTGTATTCTGACGTTGAGCGACGTGCGTGCATAATATCCGGCGATTCCGTACGCTCTAACGAAGAACTGCAATCTGTTGTCCATCTATCCATCTATTGTATCTCTGTCGCCGCGTGTTTCGATCAATCATACTTTGGGAAGATCGAGGGCCACGACATTCGAACATCAAACAGGAACAATGGAGTGTGGTCAGTGGTCAGGATGTGATGAACTGACGAATGCCGATAGCTCCGCTCGAACGCGCTGTGGCCAGTCACGAAACATAAACACCCCGCGCTCGATCGGATGTTTCTCCATTCATCATTTTCATACACAACAAGAGCACACGAGATCCACACATTTGTGTGTGGATCTCATGTGCTGTTGTTGTGTATGAAACTAATGAATGGAGAAACATCCGATCGAGCGCGGGATGATTACGTTTCGTGACTGGCCACAGCGCGCTCGATCGGAGCTATCGGCATTCGTCAGTTCATCACATCCTGACCACTGACCACACTCCATTGATCCTTTTTGCTGTCCCAACGTAGCAGCCGTGGATCTTCCCAAAGGACGAGTAATCGAAACACGCGGCGATAGAGGTACAATAGATGGGTAGATAGACAACATTCATTGATTTGATAGTATTCATTATTGATTATAGACATTCTAAAGCTCAACAGACATAATATTCCTTGATTATATGCAGTCCAGATCAACGGAGCACGATCAGATCACTCTCGACATTGTCACCGCGCGTTTCGATCGGCCGTCCATTAGGCAGTTCTCATGAGTTGAGTAACTGATGCATGATGAAAGCTTCGATCGAGCGCGAGGCGACCGATCACGAAACTTAACAACCGCGCGGCAGATCGGATCTTTCTCCACTCACCAAATCAATCATCCACACGTGAGTGGTGACATCGGCGATACCGCACGTGAGTGATGAACAAGACCATCACGATTGATCACGACACGATCACTGATCTGCCTAATGGATGATCAACCAAAGCAGGAGGTGACATTGTCGGGACAGTAGATGCACATATTCGACCAATCGCCGAACACGAACGGAGTGCTCGCGATCAGGCAATTGATCGCGCGTGCTGTCTCAACGTTGTCACCGCGTGTGTTTTTCCCCAGTATCAATTGTAACAACAAAACACACGTGGCACTGTGCACGAACGACCAACCGGACGGCGAGCGACCGATCCATCACACTCGTTGATGTACCCCGAGCGAACAGCAGACTGGTCAATGGATCCACCACTACCAGCATCACCAAACGACTGCTCGGACTGCGGTTGGACGACCGGTTAATCCAGTAGTCCACCAACCATAGAGCCGAACGTGTGCTTGCGTTGCAACCATGGCATCACCCTCTGTGCGATCGCCCGACCGGCAGGCGGACGACCGATCCAGCAAACTGGTTGACAGGAGAGCGTTGGCACGAGCAACCGATTAGTTGATTGATCGACTTTTCGGTTTGTGGTTGGCCAATTAGCTGATTGATCGGCCGCTCGCCGACCAGGGAACCGACATGCCAGCCGAGCGGTTCAATTTTCTCGCCTCGATCGAACTGCATTCCAACTGCCTCCTCGTCCATTGGTCTTACTCATCACGCAAGGCAATTGGTCCACCACACGGTAGAAACCCGTCAAAAAGGTCGATCCCTTTTTTGGAATGGACAAAAGACAGTTCGTGACAACGTTGTTCTACATCGAACGTTGCTGGCCATCGAACCTTGGCGTCCATCGAACCTTGTTTGGCATCGAACCTGGCGCCCCATCAAACCTCGGCGGGCATCGAAATGTTGGCGGATATCGAACGCCACTGGATGGCAAACCTCGTCGGTCATCGAAACTCGTTGGTCATCCAACGACGAACGTTTTGCAGCCACCATACGACAGAGGGGGACCTGTGAAAATATGAAGTCCGCCGGGATCCGAACTTCAAGAAAGCACGGGAAGGTGAGTTTGGTAGACATATGTGTCTCTCCCACGTAATCTCGCCGAGCTCGGATCCAGGTGGGCCTCCGGTTCACACCTTCCGCAGGACCCAACACGCGGTGCAACCCCAGCGGGCAACCACAGCGGTGGACCTGTGAAAATGTGAAGTCCGCTGGAATCCGAACTTCAAGAAAGAATGGAAAGCTGAGTTTGATGGACAGCTGTTTCTCTCCCACCGCATTTCGCCAATTACGGATCCCGGCGAACTTCAGGTTCTTGCCTTTCGTAAAACCCAACTCGAGTTGCAACCCCAGTGCACAACCACAGCAGCGGACCTGTGAAAACGTGAAGTCCACTGGAATCCGAACTTGAAGAAAGAATGGAAAGGCGAGTTTGACAGACAGTTGTTTCTCTCCCACGGCATTTCGCCAAGTACGGATCCCGGCGAACTTCAGGTTCTTGCCTTTCGTAAAACCCAACTCGAGTTGCAACCCCAGTGCACAACCACAGCTGTGAACCTGTGAAAATGTGAAGTACGCCGGGATCCGAACTTCAAGAAAGAATGGAAAGGCGATTTTGATAGACAGTTGTGTCTCTCCCATGACATTTCGCCAAGTTCGGATCTCAGCGAACTACAAGTTCCTGCCTTTCGTAAAACCCAACCCGAGTTGCAACCCCAGGGCACAACCACAGCGGTGGACCTGTGAAATGTGAAGTCCGCCGGGATCCGGACTTCAAGAAAGAATGGAGAGGCGAGTTTGATAGACAGCTGTGTCTCTCCCATGGCATTTTGCCAAGTTCGGATTCCAGCGAACTTCGGGTTCTTGCCTTTCGTAAAACCCAACTCGCGTTCCAACCCCAGTGCACAACCACAGCAGTGGACCTGTGAAAATGTGAAGTACGCCGGGATCCGAACTTCACGGCATTTCGCCAAGTTCGGATCCCAGCGAACTTTCGGTTCTTGCCTTTCGTAAAACCCAACTCGAGTTGCAACCCCAGTGCACAACCACAACGGTGGACCTGTGAAAATGTGAAGTCCGTCGGGATCCGAACTTCAAGAAAGAATGGAAAGGCAGTCGTCGACGGTTCTACATGAAAAATGTCTACGGTGCGAAGGGGAACGTCGTCGCCGGTGCCAAGGGGGCGGTTCTGGACATGTGTCTGTTCGAGGGGTTCGGAGCGGGTGTTGCGAACACCCCGTTCTACAACGACCTCCGGCGGCAGGGCGGGTTTGTTTTGGGTCGAGAGTTCTTAGACTCCTTGGAGGACAAGGACATCGCCCTCGACGTCGCTTGCGTAGTCGGCCCCGGCATGGAATTGTCAATGCCTTTGCAGCCGTGCGGCGGATGTGAGTCGAGCGGGGCAGCGGGGGAGGGGGGGGATCTGGGTTCTGGGGATGCTACACATGTGCAGCGGGAGGATGCCAGAGGTTAGTTTGACGACAGCGAAGATGAGGCGACACCGCATCCGCCGTTTTCGCTGTCGAGGGAAAGAGACAGGTCCGTGCTGTCCATACCTGGGGTCCGACAACAGACCGCAGCAGATCCCGGAGAAGAGGGAGTCCTGTGTGGGTCTGACTTGGAGCCCGCCGAGGGCCATGGCGCGGAAGGCGAGGCCGTGGGCAAGGAGAGAGCGCAGGGCACTCCCCAAAAAAGAAGGGGAGAATGTCAAGAAGCGTTGGTGGGCTCTTCGAAGAAACAGAAGACCAAGACCCCGAGGACTGCGGGAGAGAAACGGAAGGGGAGCAGGGTGGAAGAGGGGCACCGGGGTAGCAAACGTCCAGCTTCGAAACATAAACATCCTGAGCCGGGACCTTCTTCACCAAGGCCTGCCATTGACGTGGACGCCGGGTACTTCCTGAAGTACAAAGACGGCGTCAGGACAAGGCGGGAGTTTGAGATCAGCCCCGCTCAGATCGTCGACGTAAGGGAGTGGGAGGATCTTTACAACCAGCGGTCGCTAGATCTCGTCCTCGTGGCAACGATAAGGGAAGCAATGGGGTCTGCGTTCCAAAATAAAGAACAGACATACGAGTTGCCGGTCTTCAAGCTTGCACCACTGGGGCTTCAAAAACCAACTCCTGGGACCAAGGCACAACGTCTGAAGCCGGAGGAGTGGAAGGATGAGCTGGCGGGAGAATACTACTACTACGCGGTGTGCGGGCAGCACAATGCGGCTGCAGCCAGGTCGCTGCTCGGCAGCGAGGTGGCCAAGAAGTACAATTTCGAGCGGTGGCCGGCAGGGATGGTGTACTTTTCCGACGTGTCTTCGAAGGGTATTTTCTTGTTAGTTCACAGGACAACAAGAAGGACCTCAAGGCACCTCCCTGACAGTTGAAACTTTCTATGAAAGACATTCGATGGCAGTGGAAGCATGACGGCTGCCCAAGAACTGTGATGGGGAACCCTAGCGGCAAACAAGATCAGGTCCGGGCTTGGCATAAGTTTTGTACAACCGCGGTCCATAAGGCACCTCAAAACAGCTTGTGGCTTCTCGCGGATCAAAAGAAAGAGGAGGCCATTAAAAAACAAAATGCTACCCTGCGTTCTTACTTACCTCAAACAATGGCCGGCGAAAATGTCAGGAAACTAGCCCTGGAATTTTTCGAAAAATGGGAGACGGGCAGATTGCTGAGCCACGACAGGGCGAAGTGGATCGTCAAAAAGAAGAAAGTCAAAAACGTTAAGTCTGGGGTCACCTACATCCACAACGACAAATTGGGCAGAACAGAGGTGGTGTACAACGTCCCCGTGGACCCGTCGAATAAAAAGGGCAAAAAGGAGAAAGAGGAGGGCGATTGGTTCGTGCAAGTGCCAGACCCGGACGCGCATTGCAGGAAAACAATGGAATCACTCACGGACAATGAGAAGTGTCGCGTTCTGAAAAAGGTGCTTGCTTGCGAGGTCATTTGGGTCCAGGCCGGCTCTCCGTCGTTGGCGAAGTTGGGAAAGCTCAGCATGCAGGACATGGTGCAGCTGGTGAAGTGCGACCGCGTGCTGGTCCGGTTGTGGAATTACTACAAATTCAAGCACGAGAAGAGGCCGGACGCGGACTGGATCCAAAGGTACCCTTTCCTGAGATCGAGGTCTACCGTGTTCAAGAAGTTTGAAGGTCAGGGGTTGCATGACGAGTTGTGGGATAACAGCAGGAAACACGTTTCCGACTCGGCGCTGTTCAAGGACTGCCCGCTGTACATGGGTTGTGACCAGGACAACTCGATTGAGGTGACGGAGAAGTTGGCGGGCCACAAGAAGTTGTCCGTCGACCGGAGAAACAAGGTTCTCTCCGTGTTGAATGGAAGCAGACTGAAGAGCCGGGAAGTCGCACTTGCCGAAGGCGTCATTCACATTAAATGGAAAGACACGGGGGACGTGACATCCATCGCACCGTTCGCCAACGACCCTTTAGAGGCGGACATCAGGGGCGCARAGCTGAASGAGGCAKTGGCTGCCACAAAGAGCCACACGTTCGTCCTCGATCTGTGCGAGCCRGTTGACCTCAAACTGTGGAAGCCCCAAGCGTGGGAGACTTTGAATTCCTATCTCCAGACGTGGTGTCCCTCGCATTGGACTCTCGTTGTTTTCGTGCCGCGGCAGCACAACCTGTCGTTTCTCGCYAGCATGCACCATCTTTCTTTCGTCAAGCTGTTGGAAGGGAAGTGGGTRCGGAGAGTGCAGCAAAAAAAAAGYTTCCCCGTTRGGAACAATTTATACACGGAGGAAGACCRCATGTACATCCTCTTYAAGGGTGACGATCTGCGCGTCAACACGTCCGTGGTSTACGAGGGAAACCTGCCCAGGGGTGCCGCTGCTGCCGTGYGATTGCCTCAGAGGGTCACCCAGACGGATGTGTCCGAGATTCCTTTCACRCCTTGCGACTGGTCGCTGGTGGCGCCTGAACGACARGGCAGCGTCTATGGGGATATGRAACGCAATCCGACACAATTCGTCGGTCTTCTTGATTTTCTGGGCAAGAAGGGAGAGGGTGTCGTGTTTCTTGGRAAACCGCACGCGCGAAGCGTCTGGGAGCTCCTGAAGGCCGGCCGGCACGTTGTCGCAATGGAAGGGAACTCCGACCTCTTGCAATTCRCGATGCAGGTGGTGAAAAGCGAGGTCAATTCGGGTGGGCACAATTGTGAGTTCATGGTCGTGAGGCCAACACGGGATAAGGTGTGGAGCAACAAGACAGATATGTGGTTCAAGTTGAGCGAGAGGAAGAGGAATAAGATATACGATTTCTTATTCCTTCAAACGCGTCCGACGAGGGACACTGACGCCGAGTACATCCGTCGGAAGGACCACATGTTGGCACTGCTCGACAACTACCACTTCGCCTCCCGCATGAACGCGAAGACGTTTATCGAAAGGCTGCAATCGCTGTCCTTCGTGGAGTCCGAGGAGCAGTTGAAGTTAGCCAGTTACGCTTACCTGATCTCCACTGACGACGACGAAGCCATAGGTGTGGAGTTTGTCGCCAACGCGAAGGAGGAGGAGAGCGACACGGAGAGCATCGACCTGCAGTACGACCCGCCTCCGGCGGACCACGGCCGAGGGTCCTCGTTGGCCGGTCCATCACCAAGCGCTGCAGCCCTCGTGTCACCATTGGCCAAACCGGCGCCGGGCACCATGCCGATAAAGTTGATGGAGAGACTTAGAGCTCTGGCCGCCCCCCCGCCCGCTTTGCGTCCCGGGTCCGTCGTCCCGCCCGATCATCCGTCTTGGAAGGATGACAACATCCACTTCCTGCTTGAACCGCAACGTCATTCACCTGAGCTGGAGTGGGGCCATGACATGGTTTGGCATCCGGGAGTGATCCAGCCAGCGATACGAAATGGCGAGTGGGTCATGGCCGTGGCAATCCCGGGCGCGGGATGGGTGTCATTCCCACGCGCGTCGAAGTCCAACTTCCTCCACCTCGCGAGGATGTCGGTCCTCCAGAAAGTGACGGTCGAAAATAATACTTTGCCATCCGGTGACCTATCCCTCATTTCCACTGTCGGTCGACTGTTCGACGAGCTTTAGAACAAGTGCTGGTTGGAATCGATGGAGGACTACTACGAGCTCGACACGCGTCCGTCGAAGGGCGTGGTGGACTGGAAAGTGCCCCCTCCCAGTGGGCCGGACGGTGGTTCCGGGGGGGGTCACCTGGAAGCAGAGGGGATGGGGGTGGCGACGCAAAGGGTGGCGACGCAGGGGGTGGCAAAGGAATCCCGCCTATGGGGGAGAGAGGGTCTCACGGCAGCAACACGACACCGTCAGGCAGCGCCGGGGTGGCGGGTTTCGCCGTCGACCGGACTCCGTCGACCGGCACCCGGCCCGAGCATACGACACACTCCGCCGACCCCCCAACTTCGTCCGTGGGCTCAGCGAGGGACACGTTGGCAGCCTTGGTTTCTCTAGGCAGTTGCTCGGCCGAAAAGCCGAAGTCCGCCGGGATCTGAAGTACGTCGGGTGAGGAGCCGCCAGAGCGGTCCGGAATGCGAAGCTGCTCGGGGTCGGGGGATCCAAGCAAGGATCGAGAAATTCGCAGCATTGCGGCGTGGGACGAAGACGTCGGAAAGGTGTCGCCTGACCGGGAGCGACGGCCGCAAGGATTGGAGCGTGAGGCTGCAATTGCAGGGTCCGGCGACATGGAGACCACGAAGTCCGCCGAGATCCGAACTTCTTCGGCCGGGGTTTGTCGGCCAGGGATTGTTGTGCCGTTGAGAGGCAGCTGCTCGGCCGAAAAGCCGAAGTCCGCCGGGATCCGAACTACGTCGGGTGAGGAGCCACCAGAGCCGTCCGGAATGCGAAGCTGCTTGGGGTCGGGGGATCCAAGCAAGGATCGAGAAATTCGCAGCATTGCGGCGCGGGACGGAGACGTCGGAAAGGTGTCGCCTGAGCGGGAGTGACGGCCGCAAGGATTGCAGCGGGAGGCTGCAATTGCAGGCTCCGGCGACAGGGAAACCACGAAGTCCGCCGAGATCCGAACTTCTTCGGGCGGGGTTTGTCGGCCAAGGATTGTTGTGCCGTTGAAAGGGGCAGCGTGCACGGGGACGGAAGGGCGGTCCTCGAGATTCAGCACGGGTACCGCGGAAGGGGACGAGTTTCGTGGGAGGGAAGTAGTGGAGAAAATGGAGGAACAGAAGGGAGCGCAAGAAGGGGAGGAAGAAGGCGAAGAAGAGGTGGAAGGGGAGGAAGCGGGAGAAACGGTGCTATTTGATTTGTTTGAAGGGAGGGAGGGTGCCGGGTCTGGGGAAGACGAAGTGGAACACAGTGAGGACGATGCCGGATCTGGAGAGTCGTCTGACGAGTTTGGACAACTGTACGAAGAGCATCACGAGGATGATGTCGACGACGATGCCACGACAATGGAGATGGAGACACAAGTGGTCAGCAGCCTTTCCGCAGAGCCTGAAGATTATGCGGTCCGGCAACTGACGTCTGCTGTCGACTTGCAACACCGGTTCGACGAGGCTTCCGTCGCTATCAGCCCGTCTGAAAAAAGTCGACGTATAAGCATCAACGAAGTTATCGATGGTATCCTCGGCGAGCACAACGTGTCTACCCGTCCATCCGCAACAGCCAAAGTCGCATGTTCCGTGGCAGCTGTCCTCACTTCGTCGCCGCCGAAGTCTCTGGTGCTGCCGGCCACCCTTGCCGCCGAAGGGAATGGCGAGTTCGGTGGAGGACAACATGTGACGTCCCCAAAAAAATCGAGGTTCGGTGGTCAAGCTCTCGACGTGCTCGCTTTGCCTGCGCCAAATTCACCATCGAAGGAGCGGAGAGAGAAACAGACTGGTAAGCCGTGAAGAGCGCCTGCGCATCCGAATGTCGCCGGATTACAGTCCGCGCTATACACACGACGATTCTCCACACTGTCTGTACATACGGGAAGTTTTGGATGCCGGCATGCTACAGCCAGCAGCCCTCCCTACTCCAGCTCGTCGGCCTATCTGTGACTCGGCCGGGTTGCTAGTCGAGGGCAGCGAAAACTTCGTCCAAAACCTTACACTCCATCCAAGGAAGGATCTGCCCCGGCTGAGGAAGTGGCCAAGGTGCTAAGAAAGTGGCCAAGTAGATCGGCTGACAGTTTTTCCTTCTCGGGAATAGTGCCGRTTTTAGTCCGCCGGGATCCSGACYTCCTTTGTCGATGCGTGATGTGGTCAGTCTCAGTGGGGTTGGTGTATTGAAAAGTCCGCCGCAGTCCGAACTTCGGGGATTGCTGGTCTCCGGCTTCTGTGAGCTGTGGTGGTTTTCCTTTGCGAAGTGCGGGGTTGATAAGCTCGAATGTTGTAGTCGTTTTGTTTTCCAGTCGCACAACAGCAGCTGGGTGCACATGACCACGCGARATCAGGGTCCTKTGGTCGGAGAGRTCCTGCTTRAYTGTAGGCCACGGTGCTAARAAAGTGGCGAAGTASATGGACTRACAGTTTTCCCTTSTCGGGAATAGTGCCGGTTTTAGTCCGCMGGGATCCAAACTTCCTTTGTCGATGCGTGATGTGGTCAGTCTCAGTGTGGCTGGTGTATTGAAAAGTCCGCCGCAGTCCGAACTTCGGGGATTGCTGGCCTCCGGCTTTTGTGAGTTGTGGTGGTTTTCCTTTGCGAAGTGCGGGGGTGATAAGCTCGGATGTTGCAGTCGTTTTGTTTTCCTGTCGCAAAACCGCACCTGGGTCCTGCTTGACTGTTGCGTCTGTACGAATGTATGGTTCTCATTTTCCGTTTTGTCTTTCTTCTGTTGTACAGGGGTGGTGTYGTCTCGAAYACRGAGGTCCTCCAAATATCYARAGCACATATTGCARAAAGTCCCCRGGTTGAGTACAWWACAGAAGGATATGTTAAAGGCATCAGGGGTTGATGTCRAGATCGGGAAGAAGGAGTACACCGTTGCCATTGAGGAATGTCTTTCCCTTCTTGCTCCAGAGAAAGGGACATATCCACGATCTGTGAGTAGGGGTCAGACCATGTATGCGAAGTACTTAGCAACGCGTCATGCACCGGGGGACAATGCCTAGAACTCCGTTTCTCACTACCCCACGTGTCCTTTGCTCGATGTTGTGCAGTGCGGGCAACAAGTGCAGCACGCGGGAAAAGTTTCGCTGCGACAATTGCGCCTCTGAGCTTGGGGGTTTTGGATGACATTGTACGAGGCTCGGTGCCGTCTAACACTAACACGTTATTCGTTAAAATAGGACATTATACTGTGTTCTCTTTCTAACGAATTAATTTCTGGCTGCAGCCTAAGCAACGTGGGCATGCCCATCCAGGGGATAACCACATGCAGAAGCGTGCTGAGATCCATATTTGTGAAACTTCATAAATGAAATCCCAAATGCGGAAGTGTGTTAGGATCCTTACTTGTTGAACTTCAAAAACATGTTGGTGATCCTGTGGGGAAGTGTGTTGGGATCCATACTAGTCAAACATCATAAACGAACAACGATTGGCACGCCAAAGGGAACCCTGTGCAGAAGTGTGCCGTGATCCTTACTTGTCAAACTTCAATTTCATAAATGTGATGGAAGATACAGTAACTATATTGTGATACTGTCCTCTTTCTTACGAATTCATTTTCGACTGCAGTGTTGTACATGGGCATGCCCGCCCAGTCGCCCCAAATGCGAGTGTTTGCTGACATCCATAGTTGTTGAACTGTTGTAAACAAAATTAGCAATGTAATTAGATTGAATTGGAGAGTACAATTCTTTCGGTTATCCCAAAGGCACACATGTAGGTTCATCGTCTTGCTGAAGACGGTTGTTTAGATGTATGATGAGATATGGACTTGTTTTTAGAAGACTTGTGACCCTGGCAGATTGGAACAGGAGTGTGCCGAGATCCATACTTGTTAAACTCAAAGCTTACGTATGTGATGAGCAAGGTGTCATGATTGAACTGTTGTTGGTTAACACATCAAATTTTCGTTTACTACGTTATCCCTAAGTCCGAATCTCTTCAACATCCAAACAATCGTCTCGGGTGAGACGACGGGTGTGCTTGCATAAGTCCGAATCTCTTTAACATCCAAACAATCGTCTCGGGTGAGACGATGGGTGTGTTTGCATAAATTYSGCATAYAGGCACGCTCATCATCCCGCCTKACATGAGGGMACTGAGATCCATAYKTKTWYASWKKTGWKRKG